ACCCCCCTCCTGCTGCTGCTCAGAGTAAGTGATGCTGATGGACCAAATACCTTTTACTGAAGTTGTAGTGGTACCTTTCAATGTAGAAACAGCTCAGAAACATACTTAGTCAAACTCTATTTACACGTATCCAAATGCACATGTGAAAAAAAAAAAGTTGCACAATGCTGATAAATTAACTCAAGTGTTTCGGTTAACGCCTGGGTTTGAATACTATGATACTACGAGTTTTAAAATCAATAAATAATAATAAATACGAAACTATTTTGAACCCACATTGCAAAGAAAATGGCACAGTGAAATACTCTGTTAAAAGTAAAAGCCTGCATTCAAAATGTTACTTTAGCAACAACAGAAAGGTATACCAGCAAATATACTTATGTAAGCTCTATCACTTTAGTGTTGCACCTGTTAAAAATCGGGCTAATTAGTTTAGACTGAGTTTCCCACCTGTGTGATCATTTAGCCTATGTTTTGTATTATTAATGTGCATATGGCTATAACCCCTAACTACAGCTGTCACTGTCATGTCCTTAGCTTCCTGCTAGAGACTCTTATTTTGAAAGGAACGTCCTGGTTTTCACTGCCTTTTTCTCTCAGGCTTTACTGCTGCCAATCAGTGGCTGACTGGGATCACCTTGATAATTCCATTCACTTGTTGGTTGTTGTGTTTGCCCTTCACGTGCTGTCTTGTTTCTCTTTTCCAGTTGCTTGCACTATTATCTAGTCATGTCTGTTCTTGTAAACCTGTTTTCTGGCCTGTGGCCTTCTCTCATGCTCTGCCCTGAGTTTGTGCCGTATGTCGCCTGGATTTAGACTTTTGCTCAGTTCTTTGGTTTTGTGCTCTCAGCATGCCAGCTGTCTATGCTTCTGCTTCACTTTTGATTCTGAATTTAATATTTTTGTTGCGGCCATATTGAGCCTGCTTCTTTTCTTTTTGTGGAGAGTTGGTGTTTATGCACATTTTTGTTGTATTGTTTTTCCTAGGTTGGAATGATTTTTGCTATGTTGGCCAGCTGCAGATTTCAGTCTGAGTTTACATTTTCCTATGTGGGACCTACAGATTTCTTAATGAAGTTAGTTATCACTCACCCAGACTTTCTGGAAGCCACCATTTTGTGATTAGTCCACCTTCTTGGGTCTTGACCAGTAAAGACAGTGCTGGTCTTTGTGTAGACCTCTCGGTTCACCAGCTGTGTCTCCACCAGTCCCATCTCCCAGAAAGCCATACCTGTATGGTGTCCGTTTCCAGCCCCGCTGTGGATCATAATTGCATGACGTTTGTCTTCGCAGGTCAGCCTTTACCAGTCTAGCGCTGTTGACCTACATAACTGGGCAGAATCAAGCCTGTACTCTAGTACCCAGTGGGTTTGCAGCCAAGCTCAGAACCTCCCCAGCTTCTCTCAGATGTGCTTCCTCTGTCCATTCTTGTATTTGCAGATTAAAACTTAAATTGTTGTTGTGAATTTGGGTCCCTCTGACAGTTGGAGTATAATAGTGGAGTGCAAGTATGTATCATAAAATGGGAGTACGCCAGTGAAGTACAACTACTGAAACTGTATTTAAGCACAATCCTTATATGCATTTAGTTTCCACTTTGCATAGCTCACCCACATCTCTGAGTAAGCCTGTCTGTATTTGACATTGATGGATTATTGAACGGGTCTACTGAGCACAGGACCAGGGGCCTGAGGTGTTAAGGGGCCCCTGGAGCTCCTCTATGAAATATTAAAGAGGAAAAATAAACACAAAACAACCACAAAGAGATGCAAACGTATCTTTCAGTCTGGATATCTTGGGGGGCCTTACGTCTGTGCCCAGGGGTTCATTGTGTCACAATCCATCATGGCAGTCAAGGTGATTGTGCATCAGCAAGCTGCTCTTAACTTTTCAGTTGCATGTTTTGGCCTGTTCTGTATATGTATGTAATCTTGGCAGAGAACGATTAATCCCTTTTGTTATACTTTGTTTTATCACCTTGACTCTTCTTTTTGATTTTGAGAATTGTGGTCTCTTTTTTGGGCATTTGCTCATTTTGGGATCACTTTGTCTCTTCCGCATAGTTTGGGAGAATTTTGGGATCATCTGTAATAATGTTGTCTTTTAACTGAGGACTGTGACTTTCAAATATTAACATCTCTTTGAGAGTGACAGCGCATATTAAATTTCTGAAAATATGCCAGAAAACAGTCAAAATGCTAACTTTCATCTGTAGTCCTTGTGCGCACATACTGTATCAGGCATCCTCATTTTGTTTATGTCAGGAATGAATGTGTCCAAAATGAAAAAGGTCCTTCAGTGCTTTTGATTACAGTCATAACTCTGGTATCATTTGAAAATCAGAATGAGTGAAAATACCTAACCAAAGTTAGAGGCACCTTAATAGGAATGTAAGGTTTTTTTGAAAAGGAATGAGCTCTCCTGTGCTCACATCACTTCAAATCCAGAAGTGTCTTTCTCCCAGCCAGTTAAGACCCTACCCCACAGCACCAGTGAAAACTGCTACATATGCCAAGTTCCTGAAGAAAGAAATACTGCATTCCTAAAATAATACATGAATTTTAGGTTCTAAAATAAAGAATATGAGGATGCTATAATGACTTTTATGAAAACAGAAAAACTATATTCGGTTATAATGACACTGTGATGTACAGTAAAGCCGTTATGACTTCACTTACTTTAAGTCCCTATAGTAATTTTGCATAACCTAATGCTACCCAGTCTTCCCATTGCAGTGAAAGAAGACCATGCATTGAGTTTAATTTTCCCGTGCATCACCAGCTCATCAACCGTTTCTCTCCATTATGGATAAAATCACATCGCCCATCATTCATCTCTTTCTCTGACCATTCAACAGGAAAATTTCCCTTCATTAAAGCCTGAAAGGATCAATATTTGCCTCTGATATTGACGGGGGATGCAGAGGCAGGAGGTCAAATGGGTACATAACCTCCCCGCATCCCTATTTTAATCAATACACTGATTTTACTAACACCTGTAAACCCACCAGTATTCCAGTCCACACTTCAGGGGTTGTCGCAAATGTGCGTGTGTGTGTGTGTGTGTGTGAAAACTGAAACAGACATTTATATAATCACACAGGCTGTTAGAGCTAAAGAAGTGCAGTGTATCAGCAGGATATCTACTGTAAGCGTCAGTAAAAGGGGAGTCTCAGCAGAGTTCTGCTTAAAATGTGTCAGAATTGTTAAGGGGATGATTCTCAGCAGCTTAGACAGGTCAGTCATACATTGAATCTCTCCTGCCTCAACAGGCTTTCATAGTAAAGCTCAGAACATCATCCAGCATGTTTTTTTTTGTCACCAATTAATACGTTTGCTGAATCACAGCTTCCACAGGAAAGCAGTGTATCTAAATGCAACCTCCAATGTGCACAAAATATTTTATCATTTCTTATTTCCACACATATAACACTGTTTGTCTGTTGGGAATGCTCCACTGATTTGAATATTTATTCACTAGAGACTTCACAAACCCTAACCATGAACTCTATTAGGATATAAAATATTTTAGATGAAGGTCAATGCATTTGCAGTTTTAAAACATGTAGACACCTATTATGTGACTAATTAGTTGCACTGTCCAATTTTAAACTGGGTTAAAGTCTAAAACTGTTCCCAAAATACCACACAGTACAGACCACAAGCAAAAATACAAACATGCACATACAGTGAAAAGGCAATAAAAACCACCCAAACCCTGTTTGGCAATTCCATGCTTACTTCAGAGGTGTGACTTTGTGGAGATGTGTGCCATAATTTATTCCCCAAGGAAAGTGTATTTATAATGATTTTACTGCTCTCATCCACTACACCGGTAATAAATATATTTACGACTCCCTGAGATTTTAGGCACCACACAATACCACACTACACCTTCTTAAGATTTCAGACTTTAAAAGTGCATCCATAATTTATTAAAGTTGTAAAAAGTGAAGTTGCTAAAAACAGTTGTAGGGAGACTGGCCACTGCAGACTCAAACACAGGTGACTGCAGTGAACAGTGAAAAAACTTTTGGAATGGCCTACAAAATCTAAGGTCCCTCAGATGTCCCCTCAGAGGTTGTGAAGGACCTAAAGCACAGATTATTTGCTTTTTGACTTCTTGAGAGTTATTTGAGAAGATGTCTGTACAGTAGGTAGGTACAACCAGTAGCTGATTAGCTTACTGGAGCTTAGCATAAAGAGTGGAACCAAGCTCTGCACATAAACGCTTGTGTTTTTATGTGGGTTTTGTATGGATTAAACCCATGGTCACCAGCCTTTTTAAGCCCAAAATCACTGAACTACCTAATGAAACACTGAAAGAAGAAGACAGCCCAGATTGTACTTCCAGCCTAAGCCCTTTTATTTTGTCTGACTGTACTGTATTTGTATTGTATTAAATGCTCTGGTCCAACTTTCAAATTGATGTAACCAAGGACACACTGTAACTAGCATATCAAACATTTCTATGTCCTACTTTTTATTTTAAGTTCCATTATTCAGTTTCATTTCAACACAAAAAGGAAGGAAGGAGGAAATAATTTAGTCCATAGCAGACAACAAAAGAAAAATAATCAAAACGCTTGCATTAAACAGATCATTTGAAGCGCCATGTGCTTATCCACTGAAGCATTATGTAACTTATTACATTTACAATTTGAATTTTAGAAAGCAGAACGGTAATGTGAGCTAACAAAGCTCCCAGTCAGTGCAGTTCTGTGTCCCTTCTTACGCAGCATCACTTCTGACAGTGCCATCGGGATCCGAAACTGTTGTAGACGTGTTGCTCACTCAAGTCAGTGTGATGGCTGTGACTGAAGACTGTCTGTGAGTGCTTTGTAGTTTGCCTCC